TTATGGTCTTCTGCCATTCGCGTGTGAGTTGAATGGTCTGCATATTCAATGTCGTCAGGTTCAGTGCGTCTGGCCCAGGCTGGGCAGGTTTAAGTGGCTAGATCGTTCACGCAGCAAACAGACCGACTGAGCGATACGGACAAAACAGGTACGATAGCTACTTTGATGAACGGTCCACAGCTGTAGTTGCTGATTCATCCGATGAAACGTATAGTTGGCTTTCGTTTGCGACCACAAATATTTCTGCGTGGTTCGTAATTCAAATAATTCCTCGATTGTGTTTTGCGGGAATGCCAATATGCAGATAAAAGACGAACCACACAAGTTAGATCCGAAGAATGAAGTGCACTAGATAGCGCAGATGAATCTGGGTCGAATGAGTGAGAACACACATTTGTGTGACAAAATGCAACTGAGAACGGTGGAATAACAACCTGTTCACAGATGAGCGATTGGAACGCAGGTAACCGCAATGACCCTAACAACTACCGTCCAGTAACGCTACTTCTTTTGCCATCCAAAGTTATGAACTCAATCTTCGCAGATACGCTGATGCAGTATCTGGAAAGCCACAACATAGTAGCTCCATAGCAACATGGCTCTCGTCAAAAGAGTTCAAGTAACACTAACCTAGTAATTACACGTAATAGCTGGACTGAAGCCGTTGATGATGGAACAGCAGTCAGTGCCATCTACCTGGACTTCTCACAGTGTTTGATCGCTTAGACCATCGAATAGTTCTTCAGAAGCTTCGGAACTTCGGTATTGGCGACCCAATCCCGAGTTGGATAATCAATTTTCTGCACGAACGATGGTTGGGGGTGAGAGTCCAGAAAACTCTGTCCGATGCAATCGTTGTGATGTCTGGTGTACCAAAAGTCTCGGTGCCAGGGCCTCGACTACCCTCGGTGTTCATTAACGACTTGGCGAGATCAATTGCTTCCGATTTCCTATTTTTCGCGGATGATATCGAGGTAATGCGAATGACAAGAGGACCGGACGACCACGAACTGCTCCAGTACCATCTTAACACAGTGTTGTAATGCTTAGTTTAAAACGCTCTACCGTTTAAAGTACACAAATGTTGCGTTGTGCAGTTACGCCATAGACATGACTACACGTATTCGCTTGGGGCAGATGGATTGCAGACCAGCTCCCACGAACGTGACCTTGGTGTGCTCGTACAGAGTTAGCTTAACTGTTAAAACAGGCTGAGGATTCTGCGAAAAGAGGCAACCAGCACGTCGGCATGCTGCGAAGGACATTTGCGAGATTTGACCCATAAACCTTCCTAAGGATACACAATTCCTAGGTGCGCCCGCACGCTGAAGACGCTATCCAACCCTCACAACCTTGGTTGAATCCCGACCTACAGGCCTTAAAAGCATCACAACGAAGAGCAACAAAGAATGTAAAGGGCCTGCGCTAGCACTCTTATTACCGAAGGCTGAAGTTGCTGGGAAGTTTCAGCAGACGCTGTCGAAGGATGTGCGGCGATCTCATAGTAGCGAACCAAATATTGGGTGACCCCAACCACTTATGCTGCCATTCGCTGAAACTTAGCCGCAACACGCAGCTCAGAGATAACAGCTTGAAATGAAGTGAACAATATAGTCGTCTAGTTTTGACGTAATTACATTTCCTTTTGCGTTTGCCAACCATGGAACACACTCCCAAACCCAGTTGTATCCTCCCCTACCTTGAAACTTCACAAAAGACGATTAAATGTTGCTCTTAGCTCCCAGCACTAGGTTACATAAACTACGCTATTGTGGTTACACCAGTCGTGCCCCTTTACAAGATGTATGTAGCAAATGGATCCAAGTGAGAGACCATATTTTACTTTTCTCACGCCTTACATCTACGACCACTACATCCCGTGTAACTCTGCACGCTTTCATCTTTTTTTCACTGACGTTATTTAACAAAGCATTCACTTTGGTACTCGATCGGCACATGACCCGCATATATTTTGATTTCCTCGTATTCACCCCAACCATCCTACGGGACGTGTCAAGCAATTGTTTTCATTCCGTGATAACTCATTGTTAATTAAGTGAACTAATCCAGCCGGTTCGAATAAATATCTGGCAGCTGCTTCAGTGGCAACCGACACAAAGAATCTGCAATCGCACTTGCTTTTCCATGGACACATAAGGGATGGAATAATTGTAAACGACAGCAGTAAGCCCGATGTTGTGTGCAGGGTGATGATATCTAGTTGATGCCATTATGTTCACCAATCAAGGCTAAAAGGAGTTTATGATCAGTAAAGACATCAAAACTACTTCCCCAGAGATACTGGTGAAATTGTCTAACACCGAATAAAACTGCCAATACATCTCCTTATCCAGTTATGCGTAGTTTTTCTCTGCCGGCGCTAAGCTCCTAAAGGCAAAAGTGATGGGTCTCATGGTCTGAACATCCATCCTGTGGGATAGTACAACGTCGAGCCCTAATGCTGGGGCCTCACATCGGTGAGTGATAGCCCTCATCAGATCAAAATGAACTAGCAGATTAGCCCTATCCATGGCTGCGTTGATAGCAACGAAAATCTTTTGTTCTTTAACTGAACATTGCCGCTTATCGCTTTTCGCAGTAAAGCGTACAGGATTGCGAGGGTGGTGACCAAATATGGTAAAAAGGGACTGTAGTATGTCAGCATACCCAGAAAGAATTGCAACTCCCTGATGTCGCGCCGTCTCCGAGAGTTGAGGATGGGTTGGATTTGTTTCCCTTAGAGGATGAAAACCATGTTTATCCGTATGAAATCCAAGGTACTGAAAACCGTCTGCAAAAATTACCCATTTTGATTTTTGCAGCTTGAGTGCACTGTTTTGAAGACGTTTTAATACCTTCGCAAGCGATGTCATGTGATCGCAGTCAGTGCGACCAGAAATTATTGTAATGTAAATAAGCGCATACACCGGATATTTCTTACCCTGAAGTGTCAAGAATCTTCTGCAATGCTGCCGGTGTTGAATATATTTCGAAAGAAGTCTATTGTGGCGGAACAAACACATGTGGGTATTGAGAGTTGTTATCTCTCTATTAATTTAACATGGAATTATATCGGCATGTCCTTATGATTTATTCGATTTCTTTTATCTGATATTGTCAGTTCGCTTGAAGGGCTGTTGCCTGACATCCCAGGTGTCGCCACGGTTGATGTGAATGTTGGTAAGCTGCCAACCTGTCCGCTACCCACTACCTTGATTAGCTTGTTTCCAGGAGACAGTTGCTCGTTGCTAGAGGGGATGGAGTGCACGGTCTTCGTGACCATGCTAGGAACAAAGTAGATTTCCTACAACCAGTTTGGAACAGGCTCCGGTCCAGCCATTGACTTGCATACTTCTGGTACGCATGGTTTCAAACTTATGCATGAATGCTTCGGCTCTGCTTGCTGAAGGAGTGTGAGCCGATTCCGTTGCTGAAACCTGGCTCCCATCTGCAGGCTTCCTAGTCTTATTTTTTCGTGTTTACACCGGATATGGGGTGTGTGGATGGAACAATGAGTGCTTCAGCGCAAGCCACTCCTGGTCTCTCCTTAGGCGCAGGCGTAGTATGATTGTTTTCTGGAGACCGCAGTGACAGACAACTCCGGAACCGAATGCCGCAACCTCTCTATGGCGGATTCATGCAACTCTACTTGGGAGTACTCTTGGCTTAAAGCAAGTTTAGAAAACTTCTGACTGCTTGACCGAAGTCATTTATCCATGGAATAGCACAGTGTTCTGACATCGTCACTTGGTTAACAGTCCGTATATAGTAACAAAGACACGGACGACATCATCGGGTTTTGGTACTGGAACCATTATCGGCCGGTGGCCGAGTGGTATGCGTGTCTGGTTTGCAACCATAAGGTCACCGGTTTGAATCCGCGTAAGGGCGGGCGTCCACCCGGTATACTCAGCTCAAGCGCGACTGTTGGTGATCGCGTGGCAGCGAAGCGCCTTTACGGCGCACAGCTGGTGATTTATTTATTTACTTTTTCTGGAACCATTGGCGTGGCCCAAGATGAGTAGTCTACAAGCGATAATATTCCTTCAATTTAGACGAGCTCCAGCCCTAACTCAGCTTTCGGACGGAGAGCAAAAAGTAAGCTGCTTGCTCTGAAAGTTTTCTGCTGGGCGTTCTGTCTGATATAGAGAAACTTGGAAAGCACGCAGTTTACTGGGTAACGTTTCATCAAACAAGCAATTAGACATTCTCAACAATGAAGGCATTTTTGGAAATATGATGCTCTTTCTGCTGGTTTGAACTGGTTCCGGATAGTGTTTCAGCCAGTTTCTACCAAGCACTTTGGGGCCATCAGTGTAGAAACAATTAATGGAAGCGTAAAAGTATCTACCCACGAGCAACCTTTACTTCACACAGCCGTAGTACCTCAAGTGCTTCAACAGTGTATGAACGCAAGGTAGATGGGGTCGGGACCAACTGCAGACCTGGCAGTGTGCGATTGTTAAAAAACGTGACTGAGGCCCCCTTATTAATTTCTAGGTACACAAGCTGGTCTTCAATTTCAACTTCTACGGTGCATCAGGACATTCTCCGCACATGCAATGTGGTAGTATGTGAAAGCAAATAAGATGAGGACTCCTCAGAATTCTCTACTGTCCTGACAGTTTTCGGTAGAGTCTAAGCTACACGAAGTGGGAGCACTGTTGAGCAGTAAATACGTATAATATGTCGAATCTTGCTACACTTGTGATAAGTGGATTGCTTGTATCCACATATGTCTGGAGGGCCCTTCTCTGCTTATCTCCCCTCATACGTATCGAAATAGAGCATAGTGTAGCTCGCCATAACCATTTTGTTTGGCCCCTTAGATGGCAGGTATTGTAGCATATTTTGTTTTGTGGCCCAATAAGTATCAGGACGTAGAACGGAGTCCATTTCGCTGCGCCATATTTAACCCCGATACTATACGTTTTGTAACTTTCCTATGTGTGTATCCTAAACTAGTAAATGACAAATTCATTATCGTTAACATTTTTCAGTTGGAACAGCTACAACAGCAGCTTCATGAACGTAATTCGGAGCTGGAATTGGAGAGAAGTAGAGTGCAACGATTGGTTGATCATATGGAGAATGTCAAGCAAGAAATCACTTATACGGCTGGTTTATGTGAGCTACGGCGGAAGGAGATTGATGACGAGAATCACCAATGTAGGTTGACGGAGAGGGAACATGGGAAGCTACAACAACAGATGCTATGCCTCAAAAAATTACGACAAGAGGTACAAGAAAAGATGAGCAGTCTGGAAGCATGTTGTTGCCTTTAACGTTTCAATTTTCAGAACGCTACCTTTACAAAAAGTGCTGAACTAGAGAAAGTTTCTTCAAACTTGAATATTGACAAGAAAACTTTGGACGAGTTGATCCAGATTAACGAAGCGAAAAACAAGGACGTTATATTGATGGAAAAATACATTCATAAAGACTCATCACAGCTGAAAGTATTAAGTCATGTGTATCACATCGTCCTTCTTTAGGATTTAACCTTAGAAATGCAACGACTGACGTGCACTGTGAGGTTAAAGAAAGATAAGCTGGATACAACCTATACACGAGCACAAACGTATCAGCTCAGTCTGGCTGGAAGGTGTGAGGAGACGAAGACAGCCCATCAGGAGCGTGATATGTTGATTGCGCAATGGGAGCACGTGTTAAAACGAATGAAGGATCGCGACGAAAACCTTCGGCAGCTGACTGATGTAAGTGGGTAATTTGCAGTGGTTGAGATAAATATGTTTAAGAGTTATCGTGCCATGGTGTGCATGTTTGACTGTTGTATGGTCACTGAAGAGCGTGCAGTTGCCATGACTGATACTCGCTTGATGCTGAGCATCAGTTAGTAGGAAGTCGTGATAGCACTCTTAATTCCGGTGGGCCCTATCCTTCGAACGATAGCATGCCTCCTACACGGCATGCACGCTTGCATAGATGGGCAAAAGCTACTTTAATCGTTTGTGCTGATTTAAAAACCAGGAGTACTGTCGAAGGGCAATAGTTCAACAGGTGATTCAGGATGTTGGATTGAAGAGCAAACAATCCTTGTCGTAATTACGGGATTTGAGGGTTTTGGCAACATTCGCCTGCCCATTAATGCGCTACATAAACCCCAGCAGTAAAGTAAGATTAGATGAATGGTAAACCACAAATAAGGTAATAAAGTTGAACGTAAACCCTTTCAGTTAGTTTTGTCGTATAGTGCAGTGTAGGCTGTCCATTGGCAGCTAGTCAAACTTAACCGCGAATGTGTTTTTATTACGAAAATGGAGACATACCAGTACAAATAATGGACCAAAAATATATCATGGCGTCTAAGTAGAACGACGATTTCACGTGAGCCAGTTAATGGATGATTCGTAGGAACACAACAGAAAATCTGCTATCACGTCAATACACTAGGGCTCATCAAAAGCGAATACCTCAAACACGGTTCACCATTCAGAAAGCGAAAAGCAGTCCGCAGAGGCAACACCTTGGTTCATGAGAAATTTTGACCCGACTGACAAGTTGCGCGGCATATTTCAAAGGAAACATTAGTGAAACATTGCGCTTACAACTGAAAAGTACGTAGCAAAAGCAGAGAAGGGCACAAGTCCCACGACAAGGTGATAACTAGAGAGGAAACATCGAGCAGTAATTCAAAGTCAGTCAAACGCTGTCCATAACGTCTGTATGATGGATAAATTCAAATAATTAAAGGGAGGAAGAATATGAGTACAGAATTACTTTCGGTAATTCTCATCAGACACAAACATTAGATAATGACGACAAAGTGCTATATCTGCCGGATTGTGCTGCGTATTGATCAGAATGTCTAATTCCAGCAGAAACAAAGCAAGCAATCACGGGCTCATTGTAGGTGACAAAGTAGGTACAGGTGACAATCACAGCAGACGTTGTAGACCGCAGTAGAAGTAAAGGACGTACAAACTGTTGTACGCACAATTCTGGCTTTAGGTGGTGGATGTAGACAGCTTCTGTAATCCACGCGAGAAACGTTCACTGATAGTATAGAGGAGTCTGAAATCATTTTCCGTCCCTGCGTGACCGAAATCTAGAAGATGCGACCAGACGTAGCTGTTACTAGACCTGGCTTCGCCTTTGCGAAACCACCTCGGGTGGTATTCACGAATCCAGTGAGATAGGCGCCTCGCATCACGACCCACGTATCGTACAACATAGGAGCACGATTGAAGTTAAACTAGCACTGATCGAGCCACCGGTGGCAGCTTGTCTCCCCAAGGTTTTGCGAACAAAGGCTTGTTGTAAAATACCATGCGTAGACGACCACAAAATAAGCCTTTTCAACAGCATCTTGCAGGCGTTTGGACAGGGTATCAGCTGCACTGTCGCCTTTGAAGGGAAAATGCACAATTAATTCTTTCTTGGGCACGTTCATCCTCGGTGGTTTTATCTTGCGTTCTTTCAAATGTTTGAGGATGAATTTATCTGGATACCCATTCGCCCTTAGCGCGTCACCGATCCTCTGCCATTCTTTGGTGATTGCGTCCGATGTGCAAATTCTGTGTGTCCGGAAGGTAAGAGTGCGGACTAGATTTCGTTTGTACTGTAGGGGTACCGCACTTTAGAAGTTGGTGTACTGTCCAGTCCAAGTTGTTTTTTATACACTGATCTGCTGCACGATCCATGGGCGTTTCTGATGATATCAAGGTCCAGGAAAAGTAGCCGGTTTCCTGACTTGTGCTCACACGTGAAATGTAGATTCTGATGTGCATAATTAAAGGCTTCCAACAGTTTCAAAGCTTGTGTTTTCGATTTGCAGTATAAATGTGTCGTCCACATAACGTAGTTACATCTCGATTTCGATGGTGTGCGTTCTTAATATTTAATGCTCTAATTATGCTACAAATACATCTGCTACAAAGGGTCTCAATGGTGGACCCATGGCAACTCAAACAATCTGATGATACAGCTCCCCGGTGAAGGTGAACTGCACATTTAAGGTGCATCTAAGTAAAAATGCCTTCAGGAAATTTTCCGGGAGATTTATAGGTGCATACAATTGCCGTACTAGTTCGCAAACATATTGCATTGTTTCCAACAAGGGGATATTCGTAAACGACTGCGCATCAAATGATGATATCCATTTGTGCTTAAGGTTCACGCCCCTTATCTTCTCAATGAACTCGAAACAGTCTTTTACGCAGTAACTGCAGATGGCTTAACGCAATGATTCCAGATTCTCAACCATCCATTGAGTTATCAAAAGTTGCGAAGAGCCAACCCTGTCCAGTATGGGACGCATTGCAGCGCCTTCTTTGTGAAGTACAGGGAGGCCGTACAATCGTGGTAGATGTGCACCGGTAGGTCTCAGCTTTTCTAATTCCCATTTTGTGATAAGATTCGTTTTCATCATTCGTCGAAACAAATCGAGCGACGGCTTTTTAACTCCTCTGTATTATCCATTTCTATTGTTAGCTTTCGAAACTTTCGTTCATCACTAAGAATATGTTGAATTTTACGGACATAGTCAGCTCTATACATTAGGACTATACCAAAAGCTTTATCCAACTTAGAGATAACTAACTTTATTTAACCATAACTCTCTAAGCGACTGCATTTGTTGACTTGTAAAAATAGCACTACTGGCTAGTCTAACTTTAATGACACTTGTGTACTCAGCTGGGTAACATGTTCTCAATGTCCCCTGGCGAATTTGATGACAGGTAGCGCGCCTGCGTTACTAAGCTCTCAAATTGCACCTCTAATGCAGCCTGATCAACTTCTTTACAAGGAATGAAAAACATAGGGCCTAATGCTAACACATTTAGTTGTGTTGGGCTAAGCGCAATACTAGAAAGGTTAAACACATACCGCACAGGGTTACTCGGAAAGTTTAGTTGCGGCACTTGGCTATTTAGCAAGCCAAGTAACTTCTTTCTTTTCTGTGCACTCCTTTGCTTTTCAATCTGTTTTACGTACGTTCCAAAAGACCTTCGTAACTCTTCCGATAGGCCTATGACGGCATGAATTCGTTGAAAGCCGAATCTTTCCAGCTCCGAAAGTTTCGTGCGAATGTTATTCATATAGTTGAGCATGTGCCGTCTCAAATTGCACACAATCGGATTGAGAGCACATCGGCGTATATCCGTCCAATAGTCTTTTGGATACCGGCATGACTGTAAGCACTCGTTGAGGAATCTCACCTCAACCTCAGCCTCTTCATACCGAGCACTGAAATTCAGATACTCATCCAAAAGCTTGACTGAATCACGAAGAATGATGATCTTCAGCATTCCAAAAAATTCCCAGTACTTATGAGCTGGAAACGCTGGGTAAAACCGTCTGCACTTACTACATGAAAGACACTTTCGAGTTCATTGGGAAGATAAGGGGCGTGAACTTTAACAACAAATGGATGTCATCATTTGATGCGCAGTCGTTGTTTACGAATATTCCGTTGTTGGAAACAGTGGAATATGTTTGCGAACTAGTACGGCAACTGAAGAGGCCTATACATCTCCACGGAAACATTCTGAAGGAATCAGTTACTCAGATGCACCCTAAACGTGCAGTTTATGTTCAACGGAGAGATGTATCATCAAATTGATAGAGTTTCCATGGGATCACCAGTGGGACCCCTTATAGCAGATGTCTTTTTGGCAAAATTGGAGCATAACGTATTAAGAACGCACATCAACAAACTGGAGCTGTATATACGTTATGTGGACGACACATTTATACTTTGCAAATCGAAAGCGCAGGCTGTGAAACTGTTGGAAGCCTTTAATGATGCGCATCAGAATCTACAATTCACATGTGAGCACGAGTCCGGAAACCGACTACCGTTCCTGGACGTTGATATCATCAGAAACACCGATGGATCGTGCAGCAGAGCAGTGTATAGAAAACCAACTTGGACTGGACAGTACACCAACTTCTATAGTGCGGTACCACTACAGTACAAACGAAATCTAGTCCGCACTCTTGCCTTCCGGGCACACAGAATTTGCACACCGGACACAATCACCAAAGAATTGCAGAGGATCGGTGACGCTCTAAGAGCGAATGGGTATCCAGATAAATTCATCCTCAAACATTTGAAAGAACGCAAGATAAACCACCGAGGATGAACGTACCCAAGAAAGAATTAATTGTGCATTTTCCTTTCGAAAGGCGACAGTGCAGCTGATACCCTGTCCCAAACGCCTGCAAGAGATGCTGTTGAAAAGGCTTATTTTGTGTTCGTCTACGCATGGTATTTTACAAACAAGCCTTTGTTCGCAAAAAC